AGTGTCTTAACTTAGTGTTTCTTCCTTTGAAAATGCTGAACTTCTCCCCTCTTCCCCCTTCCCCAGACCGACAGTTGTTTCCTTATTTGCTTAAGAGAGACATACATCTATTATGATGTTCCTATGAAACCTGTAAGGCCATATTTTATTCCCAGAACTGGCACCAAAAAAATTCACAGTAACTGTTTACTTCTGTGCAGGCATGCAAAAAATATTTTTCTCTTAAAAATGCTTAACTTTCTCCTTATTTCAGAGTATTTAGTGTATGAGAAGTTCACTCTTCGTACTTTGAATAGTGCATGTTCTTAATCTAGGTAGATTCTAACGGAATCGGTGAAGGTTGTTCTGTCACCTCCAGCTAAACATCCCTCTGCAATGTATCTAAGGACTAAAAAAATCAAGATTTAGTTTCATGAAAGATTGTATTTCTGTATAAACTAATACTACCTAAATAGCATACCTAATCATATTTTTTTTCTTTTTTAGGCTGCTATCTTCCATGGTGTAATGGAAATGTAGTGTAGAGTACTGTTTCTGTAAGACCTTTGAAACTAAAGCTCATCCTAGATGAGATTAATTCATAGCTGCACTGTGCTTCTGATGGAGTTAAAGATGAACAAGGGAACAGAAAAGTGAGACAGGTCAGATGATTGAGAAAAAAACGTCAGCTAGAAAGAGCTTTTTTCTTTCATGAGCCTCTGTCACACCTGCAAAGAGATGACCATATCAGCACTCTTCTTGTGTGGCATATTATTTTGCATGGTTTTGGTAGAGTTACTAAGACATAACTCAGTTGGTACAACAGGGGTGGAATTGGAGCGGTGGCGTTGCTGACTGTGGGCTTGAGGGGAATCTTCTTTGTGCAGAGAACTATTAAAAATGACTGGTGTGAAGGCTGCAGAAAAGGTATTCTCTGCCAGTCCAATTACAGTGGTCAGGTCATATAGGAGAGCAGTCCAGAGAATGCCTGTTGAGGTGTGTCTTGCCCTAGATAACAGCAAAGACAGGAGGAGGCCACATGCAACAAACAAACATTTACAGCTCTGGCACAGAGCACTAGGATTAAAATGCCTCCTTAGAACTGAGTGAGAATTTCTTCCTTGTGAATGATAGACTTTGGCTTATGTGAGAAAAGCAAAGCCAATTGATTTAATAGCAATTAACTCATCCAATATTGGAGAGCCGTTACAGTTTGGCATAATTCAGTGAAAATTGCTCCAGCGATGCTGCAGACCATTAGACGTTTCAAAAAGGAGATGGGAACTGATAGATATTCTGCACAGATACAGTCAAGAGGCACAATAGTTAGGGGAGTCTCTCTGTAGTATTGCCTCATGCCAGTAGGTAGTAGCCTTCTTTTATCTTCCTGGAAAGCCTTAATAAGGATGCTGCTGGGGGGAAGGGGAACTGGCCTGCTATTTGATGGATTGGTAATCTGCCTGCCAGATAATTGTATTTCCTATTGCGCTTGATACAATAGTTTTCCACCTAAATTATCAATTACTTTGGTTTTATTTTTTATGTGGATTTCAGGAGTTAGTCTTGGCATTGAGCCATAAAAGGCACAGCTTTTTCTGCATCAGTCTCACAGGTGAAGGAGGAACTTTTTGTTACTGGTCACCGGCAGCCAGAGAGGCCCTTTCTGCTCTGCCCATGCTTCTGTACCTCTCAGCACTCACTTTCTGTAGAGGCATGGGTCCAGTCTAGCTAACATGCTAAGAATGTTTTAGTCCATGCCTGCCCCAGCAGTACTCAGTACAGGCTAAATTCCACGTAAGTTGGTCTGGGCATGCTGTATTCACTTCCATAAGGGTTTTTGTTGTGCAGCCCAGTGCTTCCTGTGTTCAGAGAGGCCCAGACATTCCCTACCATGTACAAATACTGCCCAGTTTCCCCTTGTTATATAGGGCACCAAAAAATGGGGCAGGTGGCTCGGGTCTACAGCCATAACTCCTCAGTTTCATATATAAGTATTCATTTAAATTGATGTGATCTTTTCTGTGGAAGTGCTGTTCTCCTTTCATTGCATTGCATCATAATAGCATCAACAGTGATTTTAATATTGTACAATTTTCAAGGCAGCAGTAACTCCTTGATCTAGTTATGTGACTGTCATCTGAAAATAACCATAAAGGACACAGTACGTTTTGCATATCTGAGAAGAAATCAGAATCAAGATGCATAGTTAGCACAATCTGTTACTTGATTTTAAATGGATCATTAATGAGGTTTTTAACAAATAATAGAGTTTTTCCAATTTTTTTAATTAGAAAATGGAGTGGGAAAGAAAAATATAAATGAAAGAAAAACAATTTTCTTATCATTTTTCTTTTGTAATTGGATGACTTGCTTCAGTGCTGCGTGACTATATTTAATTAATGATCTCAAACTTTCTTATGCTGCTTGTTAATGCTAGTCATTGTGCTGGCTGTATGTCTGTTAGTTTATTTGCATATGTGTGTGTGGGAATATTCCCAATGTGATGATCTGTTGTTGGATACGGAAATGTAATCACATTATACATCTTGAGAATGCATTTTCCTTCTTTGTTAATCGTTTTATTCTGCTGATTCACCTTTGTTATGACAGCTTTATAGAGTCATAGAGTTTAACACTGGCAGTGATTTGAAAACAGTATGACCCGTGTGCAGCCCATCCCTTTTGGTCACTGAGCCAGTGTGGGGGGACTCCCAGAATTCTGAGCCATTTACAGCCTGCTTTGCTAGGCAACATCTTATCACTGGCCAAAAATTGTTTCTGTTTTCTGCCTGTTCCAATTGGGCTGATCTCTGCTCTTGTGTTTGATACAGGCAATAACAGCAGCACACTAAATTCCATTGGATGACGCTGTAGGGGTATATTTAGTTTCCCTTATTGAGATGCATATACATTCCCATTTAAGTAATGAAGGATTTAAAATGCTGTGCTGGAAAAATGGGAAGATGGTTTTACAGCTGTAAAACTCCTATGGCAATATTTCTAGGATACTTTCTTCTGGGAAAATAAATGTTGAAGTATAAATGTTCATCCATTTCACATGTCTGCAGTCATCATCTCTAATGCACAGATTTGGCTATAGTAACTTCTGCTAAAATATCTCTGGAAGCAAAAATCAGGTGACTGGTTTCACTGGAGAATGTACTTAATTCCTTTGCAAAGAGCAAGTACACTACTTGTTCAGAACATCAGTGAGTCCTGATTCTGAAAACAGTGGAATTTTCTGGTAGTTCAACGATGCAGTTGGAATTATTGCTAAGAATAACACATGTACTATGTCAGTAAATCTGTGAGTTTGGGAAGGCATTTTACCTGGAGCTTAAATCTTGAACAAATACATGACAGTATCTCCAGTAATAACACTTTAAAAGGTGCACACTGAGTAACTAGGGGATAGGCATCACTGACATTAAAAAACACAGGGCTTGGATGTATTAAATAGTATAATGAAAAGTATCTTGGATACTGAGTGCTTGTAGCATTTAAATCTGTTCAACAATATATTGGACAAAATGTGTTTATACAGGATATTGATCATTGAAAATATTTTCCATAATCTGTCTGCAACAGGTAGTGCCTCCTGAATGAATATGGAAATCTTGAGAAATCACTCCCAAATTAAAAAAAAAAAAAAGAAAAAGCTAGTTTTCCTGAAATAGATGCCTGAAGCACAGCATGCAGATAACAGAGGCTGTAGGAATGGTACCTGCTTTGTTCTCTAGCAGATAAATTTCTGCACTGGGTACCAAGAGAGCAGCCGGGGGATTAGCTGGGCATGAGATTGTGTGTGACTGATGTTTCAGGGCTCTGCAAAGAACTGTCTTGCTGTTACTGCTACTGCACAGCATGGAAGGGCTTTTGCAGCTTCTATTTCTTTTCCATCTTTGACCAAGCCTTTTGGATGTGCAGGATGATGGGCTGCTCATGCAGCCTTGACAAGTCTCCATGGTTTGCATCCTTCACAGAGTCCCCCTAGCAAAGCACCCTAGCTGGGTCTGCTCCATTTTTTCCTCCAGATTGAGTTCCTGGTGCTGTGGAGGGGGTAGATGTGGTCTCTCAAGTTGGAGAATTAGTGGGGAAATGAAAAGAGCCTGATCCAAACTCTTTTTGTTTGGTTGGGGTTTTTTAAGTCCTTTTTAATTGATTTCAGTGGACTGTGAGTCAGATCCATACTGCCTGTTACATGATATGTTGGTCCAATGACTGACAAGGCTGCAGATATTTATTCTTTTGAAGTCTTTGGCCAAGGCATTCGCATAAACCACGGATTTTATTGAAACTGCGATTAAAGCAAATCAGGCTTAATGCACACTGAAAGCCTTAGTAATTAGTATACAGGTGAACATGGAGGAAAAGGCACAAGCTTAGCCATCCTTCCAAGCAAAACTGAAAAAAAGAACTGTGTTTATAATCGAACAGCATGTGAATATTAATGCACGAAATCCTCTGAGTCCCCTAGTTCCCCCATGCAATTATTTTCTATTCACATTAATTGTTCCTAACAGATGACAGTAATGACTTTGAGTTAAAATGTGTGCAAAGGAGGCCTTCAGCAGATCAATGCTGTTTAAAAATAGGGTCACTTTTGCAGTCATTCACTCAAGGTGTAACAGCTCAAAAATAAAACACCACGTTGATTAATTTGTAAATGTTAATTTTGTAATTCATTTTTATGCTTTTTTCCTGAAACCTGTCAAACTCTATGGATAATGGTGGGACTTGTATTCATTTGTCATAGTTGCATGTGAAGTAATGATAAGTTGCAAAACAGTGACCAGAAGAAAAAGTAGCGTTTCTTTTGGATAAAGAATGATCTGTTCTGCAGACAAGAAGTCTTGGACAAAGTAAGCACAAACAGCAATGTTTCAAATTAGAACAAATCCTCTTTTACCTCGGAGTCTTCTTTTCCCTTGAAATCTAACAGCAGAGAAATTTTAGAAATGTTGATCTGCTGCATATTTGACAAATGCTTATGTTTCGCTCATTCCTTTCTGCTCCCCCAGAAACTCCATTCACGCATCTTAGACCTCTCATCTGGGGATTTGCTTTCAGAAGTAGAACGAAACAGAAGCCTAATGCAGTCTCGAACTGCTGATGCTCAGATTCACGTGAGTTTTTATGCTGTCCTTGTACCCCTTATTTGGGACCCTCCTTTTTGCTTCGGAAGTCTAATGCCAGGGATGAGCCATAAAGCTGAGCTCTGAATTGAAACACTGTTGAGGCAGATAAGAATACTTCTTCTTCCTTCTGTTCTCTGAAATTCAATATTGTGTCCTCAGTTGATATAGTAAGCAGATAGTGTCACTCTGTGCAAAAAAAGCGTATATCTTAGCAATGTCCCCAGTATACCTTTTTGGGTATTGATTACATCTCAGAATCTCTGAGAAATGGTCAAGGAGCTTTTTATTAAAGCCCATACACCGTATTATTCATCCTACTTTTATGATATATTATGTATGAACTTTTAAAAATTCATAGGCTCTGCATTTTTTTTCTTTTTCAGATGGGGTTAGCTTTGTGCTTATTTGGCAAAACGTTAGCCAGTGTGGCTTTCATGTTTCATTGTCAAAGAGAAAAGTAGCTTAAAAAACAAAAGTCACAGGGGGAAAGAGGACAAGAACAGAGCATTGAACATGTGTGTGCCTTTGATCCTGAAATATAGTAGTGTCAACAAAAATGTAATCTCCTTTGTAATACAGACTTTAATGAAAAGGCATTGTTTCAAAGGTCCACAAAAATGCTAACCACCTTTGCATTATATGTGATTAAGCCTTCAGGTTGGGTTTTTCTAACATAGTTTTTTGTCTAATAGTCTGATTCTTTCCATTTTCTCTGATTTCCAGTGAAAATTATGTATTTAAATTGTAATACTACATTCAGGCCTTTAATTTCATTAAAAGTAAGGACTTAAGAGTCAGAATTACAAAACATTAAAATTTCACTGTGTCGGTTAATAGACATGTATGCAAGTTAAATATATTTAATGAACACATCATAAACATACTATTCAAAGTACTTTCTTAGATAATTATAAGAATAAAGGCAAATTTCAGGGAAAAATTCCACTCTCAGTATCTGAATGCAATGTAGAAATTGGATGGATATCCTACTTCAGCATCTGTAACGGTGTGATATTTTTTGCACATCTTCTCATTTCTTAAACAATAGAGATGATTACAGTAATACACTGTTCTTTCGCTTTGCTTGGGTATCTCCATTTTTCCCACTGCTAAAACTGTAGGACCAAAGGCCTTTCTCCTCAATTTAGGTGAAAAAGAAACAATGAGGGTATAGAAAAGCTGAAGATGACAGGAGGGGAAGGCAATACCTGTTAGTACACTGTGATCTCCTCTTGTCTCCAATAGGAGACTCTTATAGGGAAGGATTTTACAGGCATCCTTCCCTTACACGCTATGCTGACTGGGACGTAGCCTAGTATAAAGGGCAGAAATTTGACATGACATGTTTTCCCAGTGCCATAGCTGAAAGGCAACAAAATAGCCAAAAGAAGCAGATGCTGCCAGTGGCCTCTATATAGTCAACCTCACAGGGAATGATGCCGTCGTAGCTGGGGAAGCTGATAAGAGAGGGTCTCCCATGGGAACCACGATGTCATAAATAAAGAAGAATTTGTCTCAGCAAAGCAAGAAAGTCTTTTTCAGAGCCCAAAACACAGGCATCAGCCTGCCTCACACTGAAAGATGTGTTTTTCCCAGAGCCTGTGGATTTAAAGGCTTACTCCTCTTGCATCCATTTGACATCATAGGAGAACATGTAGCAATAATTCCCAGAGGTGAAATGTGCTCTTGCTACCTCTAAATGATTTTCCCATTCATAGGTTTTGCCTGTGACAGAGAATAATGATTTGCCCTGTAGTTACGTTTGTCAAAAACAGAACATTATTATCAGTTGAGCAATGAGCAGCTGTACTGATGAACTCCTCGGCAGTAAAAATTCTGCTCTCTCCCATTTAACTGAAAAAAGGTTCAACCCTTGTAGTAATAAATGGGAGGACATGGGGGAATAAATGGAAGAAATTAGCAGAAGGGCAACAAACATGATAGTGTATGAGAAGCACCTACAAACAGCATTTTTCCGGAGATTAGCATGAAGAAGCTGTGTCTACTACATACACGGTTTCAATAATTGTTTTGTGGATTCAATAACTTCGTATTTCTTGTGTCTTCCTGAATATAAAGGTAAAATTTTCATCTAGGCAAAATTAGTTTGGGGTATATCTACATGCAAAATCAATAAATATTTTTTGAGCTTGCTTTAATGAAATCTGAAGCAAAGTTTTATGAAACAGAGTCATATAGAATCATAGAATCATTTAGGTTGGAAAAGACCCTTAAGGGGTCTTAAGATCATTGCATCCAACTATTAACCTAACACTGCCAAGTCCACCACTAAACCATATCACTAAGTGCCACATGTACACATCTTTCAAATACCTCCAGGGATGGTGACTCCACCACTTCCCTGGGCAGCCTGCTCCAGTACTCGACAACCCTTTCAGTGAAGAAATTTTTCCTAATACCCAGTATAAGCATCCCCTGGAACAACTTGAGGCTGTTTCTTCTCATCCTATTGCTTAATATTTGGGAGAAGAAACCAACCCACACCTCACTACAGCCTCTTTCAGGTAGCCATGTCATTCTGTCTGGTGCTCCTGGTAATTAAAAAGATGTCTGATTCTGTAAGGAAACTGGAGAATAGCATAACAGAATGATGCAGGCACTTAACATTAAAGAAGCTCTAACTGTTAGGCACAAGAGTATTAGTTTGAAAACAAATTAAAGGCATCCTAGATACTCCTACAGAGGTTTAATATTTTAGCTAAAGTGCTATCTGCTCTTCATTACTCTCTTCCTCAAAGCTGGCACTTAGTCACAGTCAGCTGAAATTGCATTTGGAGAAGGGCGATAACTACACAAGTACTAAAGGCAGCCATAAAGTGTCAATAAATTGCATAAGCAAGAGACTTCAGCTGTCTGCAAGTGACACAAAGATGGATTGTCCTACGTCAGAGAGTTTCTTAGACAAAGCTTTGAACTAGATAGGAAACCAAAATTAGACTGTAATGGAGAGATTCCATTCTCAGTGGACATTCTGGTTGGGATAGTAAATTAATTTACCTTGTCCAGGGTGCACAGCCTCATCAGTTACATTGTAGGGCTATAATGCAGTTGTCAAGATATACTTGTATTCTTATAACTTTGTTTTCTGTATCTCACTCAGGCACGCTGCTTATGTACAAAGCATAATTCAAATAGACTCACAATAATTGTTAGCAATAGAATAGCAGAATATTGGTTTGAGAATAAAGAAGAAAACATGGAAGATTGTGGAATTTTGCCCTAACAAATTAAACTTTTAGGAATTTTTAATTTAGTTCTCTGTATTAAATTCACCAGATGCTAATGGCATAACAGGAATGCATAAGTAGCTTACTTGCTTTTTCTTTGTCCTTCTTAATCAAGAGGAAATGATCTTTTTCCACCCATAAGATATTTTTATTTCTTCTCATATTTTAGGAATGCCAGCAGAATGTGAAATCCAGTATACCCGTTTTGAAATGCCAGAGTCAATTAAATATGACAGGTCCTGGCCGCCTGTATCCCCGGAGCAGCTGCAGTAGCAGTGAACTCTCCCTCTCAAGTGCTTGTAGTGAATATTCCAGCGGTTCCTCCTACACATGGAATGACAGAAAGACATGCAGCAAAAGGGTAAATCAAATTAATTTTCTTCATTTATTAGCTTAGGTTAGTCTGCAACAAGATTAATTGAAAAGCTGCCTATTTCAGATTTTTTTTTTCACTTACCTCTCTCTTTTATATTTAAAACAGTTGTCACTGAACTCAGTAAGGGTTCTGTCCCAAATGTCTCCCTCCCTTTCACTCTCCCCCTTTTAATTCTTCTTTAACAATTCCTTTATCACTCCAGTTTGATCACAGTTTCCTCATTTATTCTGACATTTATTCTGTCTTTCACAGTCCAGATTGTTCTTCTTTATCTTAATCCTTCCATTCATATTGTTCTTCCTACAGGTTTTAAATGCGCTGCAGCCTTCACACCACTGTGAAATCCTTTATAAAAAAAAACAAAAACATTGCTATTAATAGCTATGGATGAAAAGTAATACCCTATGCAACTCCTATATGTGTTTTCTAAAATGGTAACACTTTTTATTAACAGCACTGGTGAGTAATATGTGAATTTTCTTTTGTTTTAACAGTCATCTGTGAGCTGGGATAAAAGAATAAGTGTTGGCTCCTCACTCCCAAGCAACCTCTCAAGTCCTGCAGATGATCTACCTCCAACTCGTATCAAGGAAAACCATATCTTAGAAGGGCTGAAGAAATTACAGAAGCAAAAAATATTACTTGAATCACCTTCAGTAATATCAAAATGGGGTTACAAAGATTGCATGAACTCTAATGAAGGAATATATTCCCCTGGAGTTAAATGTGGTGGCCATAATGAACAGACTTACTGTAAGCCAACAGAAATAGGAAGTATTTGCATTGAACATAACAAAACTTTCTCTTATGATTCAGATTCACATGATGATGCAGATGACGACTCTTCATCCTTACTGTTGGTGCAGGAAGTACCAAGCAAAGACTGCAGGACCTATTGTAACAAATTAACTCACAGCATTTCTGACAGTTTCTTTGACTGGGATCCTAATAGGAAACACTTGCCAGAAAGAAGTTTATATTTTAATTCAAAGGAAAGACCTGAAAAATTGACTAGTTTTGTCAGTGGATTTCAGGCAGAAGTAAAATCATGCACTAGAGCAAAGCTGCCTGAGTTACAGTTAGATCAGAGCCATGCTAATGTAGGCTGGAAGGACCTTAATTTTCAGCTTTCAGATACTGATGACAATGAAGTCTTGGATGAACTGCACATAGAAAGCAGTGATGAGAAAAGTCCATCGGATTTATTAGCAACTCCTTTTACCGAGAAGTACATGAAGACCTCTGACATGCTCAAAGACACAGAGAATTCTCAGTTTGTGTCTACTGACAAAGAGGAAAAAAAGATATCTGCTCCCTCAGACATTAGGCCAAAGACAAGTAATTTCATTAAACAACAAAAGGTTATAAAAAAGACCTCTTCTGAAGAGTGTATTACAGTAATATTTGATGCTGAGGATGGTGAGCCTATTGAATTCAGCTCACATCAAACTGGAGTTGTCACTGTAACAAGAAATGAAATTTCAATCAACCAGCCACAAACTACGTCCAGTGCAGAATATACTGAATTTATACCTCAGGGAATAACTGATTTGCAGACAGGAACCAATAATAGAAACTACATTGCTTTAGAAAGACCTGAAGATGAAACTGAGAAAAAGACTCTTGAAGATAATACAGGGAATAAAAGCACTGTTGTCCCCACAACCTGCAATGAATCTTCACACTGTGGAAGAATGATGCTGCAAAATATTCCACGGCAAAAACTAGTGAAGCCAGTGTATGATGCATCATACAAGGCCAGTTCAAGCTCCACTGTGCATTCAGGAATCAATCAAAAGCCAAACTTGACTAAAATACCAAGCAGAGGTAAATTTTCTCCACAAAAAACTGTGATGACAGAGAATGAGGACACAGCTGTAGCTGAAGCAGTAGGCCCTGCAGCCCTTGAAAAATCATTTGCTCTGCCACCTGTAAAGCTTTCAAAATTCAAAAAGGCACAAAGCCCACCTCATAATTTTGACTCGAAAGTCGACTTTCAGGTTCCAAAGACTGCTGTCCACCCTCTGCCCAGCTTAAAACATCCAGGCAGAAGCGACCGGTCAAAGTTCCCAAAGAGTCAGAATCCAGCAACACCACTGTTGTCTCAGCACCTTATAGAGCCCAATGACTATGGAGAACCTCCAACCAGAGACTTTCATTGTGATTTAACAACTGTAGAAGCCCAATCACCATCCCCACCCCTTCCTCCAGGCAGGTCAACATCCTTGTTGATTCGGCCTAATTATGCTCATTCACCACCTGTAGTGGTAAAGCTAGGAGGAGCTGGTCCTAGTGAAACAGCAAAGAATATACTGAAATCATCACCATCAAAAGGAACTGTGAACTCTGGCTTTCATAATCAATCTAGTCGTGAATTGCAAGCAAAAAATATATCTTCTGGGGCCAAAATTGAATTATCTTATCTTCAAGAAAATGCAGAAGCAATTATGCAAAATAAGAGCATATCTCAGCAACCCCTTAGTGCATGCCAAGAACTTCCCAAAGTTTCTACAAAGCAAGTCTGCCCAAAAAGCCCTAATCAGCTGGGTCTCCACAGGAATCGTGAATTTCCTAACACAGATTTTCAAACAGCCAGGTCCTTTTCTCTAGGTTTTCCGTCACTGGAAACAACTTCTTCACAAGACACATATTCGAGCAAAAAAGATATTTCTTGTGACACTGGGGTGGATCAGCCACAAAAGATGCCAAACATTCTCCCTGCAACTCCTCAATGTCATACCACAAACACAAATGAGCCTTCACTATCTCAGGTAAACAATTTCCCATTGTCAACACTGTTTCATGGTAGTAACACTGCGCATGCTACCCAAAACTCTGACGAGAAAGGAATGAAAACCCGTCTCCCTGTAGGACTGAAATTATTTGTCAAATCTCCCCAACTTCTCCACAAGAGTTCTACTGTACCAGGGAAACAGGAAAAAGACAGTATAAATGCAGCTTCCAAAAGTAATGTGAGTTCAAGTAAGTACAAGCAAAATGAATCTATATGTGTAACCAGTGGAAGTGCAACGGATGCTGAATTAAAAGACTCTAAGTCTGATACTAAAGTAAAAAATAATTTTACTGTGGGACTTAGTATGGATTCAGCATCGCCTCATTCACACGAAAACTGCAACTTTGTGGTAGACAGAGTAGATGGATTAGAAAACAAATTAGTTAAGAGATCTGTTTCTTCTAATAACAAGTCACACTTGAAGCCAGCTCTGGGCATGAATGGAGCGAAAGCTCGCAGTCAGAGTTTCAGCATTCAGACAGGGGAAAAGCCATCTGCCCCTGCAACAGAAGGTCTTGGAAAAGTACGGACTCAGATTATTACAAATACTTCTGATAGAGGAAATTCTCTAACAAGGCAGAACTCATCCGTGGAAGGACTTCAAATCAAGCCCATTCCTGGGTCAGCAGTGACTCCAGAGACTCTTTCATATACTCCTAAACCCACAGAAAATTCCTATTCTAGACAAGGTTCTCTTGGAAATACAACTAGTTGTAATAGCCAGCATGGAAGCCCAAGCAAACTGCCCTTCAGATCATCTCCAAAACTAGACCTGTTTCACAACACTTCAAAATGCAATGGAAACAAACCATTTTCTCAGGAAGATGCACGCAGCTTGTCTGTCCAGAGTGAGAAAAGCACTGAAAGTTTTCAACATGAAGCTCATAGTAAAAAAAGTGTTCTACCAGCAGAACTGGAGCTAGAAGCATCAGTTTCTGTATCTTCCAAACAAACTTCATCATTTCAAAGCTCAGATGGAATAAAGTGTTCTCAGAAACTGGAATCAACAAAGTCACAAAAACAGCAGTTGTGTTTACAGTTAGCAGAAGCCTCTGAGAAGGGTACCAGTATTTTGAGTTCCCCGGCTCTGCAACCTACAATAGAGGAAAAAGTCATGTTATGCATCCAAGAAAACGTGCAAAAGGGTCAGGGACAAACTAAGTCTCCCACTGCAGAGATTAAACAAAGGACTGGGCCCTCTATAGCTAGTTGGTTTGGCTTTCGAAAGAGTAAGCTCCCAGCACTGAGTAGCCGGAAGACTGATGTTCCTAAAACAAAGGTAGAAAAAAAAGATGCAAGAATTTCAGGATTTGGAATTAGGCAGGCAAAATTAGAGAGAAGAAGAGAAAAACAGAAAACTGAACAACACTGTGAAATAGAAAAAGAAATTAACAGGAAAACAGGCAATGGTGATATTTTAGCTGATGTCATGGAGAGCAAAATTTTGAAACCTTCACAAGACACTCCTGGTGGGATTGAGTGTGAACAAGTCAAAGGTTCCAGCACATCTACATTCTCACCAAAAGACAATTTTATGAAAGATCTTTTAAACAGGTAAAACTCTGGAACACAGTTTGGGATGTGGTGTTGTACACTGTAGCTTTATAGTTGATCAACTGCTAAGTTCAATGTGTTTCTCATACGCTAAGAATGCGTAGTAGTAATTAGTAGGTAGACATTCAGGATGTTAATCTCTGCACAAAAAAGACCCCCAAAACATTAATAATGAGATGATAATTTTGTTCATGTTACTTTGTTAACCAAACCGTTGGTCTTTGAAATAAAGAATGGCAAGTTACATCCAAGTTGGTAGAAATTCAAATGATTCCAGAAATCAAGAATCTAAGCAGATGGTGTGTAAAGATTGGGGATATTTAGGTACATGTTTTAATGTATTCCATCTTCATGTATTGTAACCAGCAGACATATATTTGGTAACTAGTCAGAATTAATTACGTTGCTAGCTACCACAACCTTCACTCACAGAACTTAACAATTGCTATACTGTGTTTTCAAGTTTGCCCCACAGCAGTCCCAAATATAATATAAATCATTATATGTGAAAGGCTAAATTGATATACTACCTGAAATTGTAAGTGACAGGTTTGATCAAGGCTAGTTAGAAACATTTATCACTCAAAGGTTTAGAGACAGAAAGATACAGAGAGGTTACTTTAAACATTAAAGGAATGGGAAAGTAGAGTGATTGAAGAAGGGCAATGTAATTTATCAGAGGAATCACTCTCTACCTGCAGAGTTGATAAGAAAGCAGCTCAGCAGACAGAAAGTGGATCAAATAATGTTTCCTACAGGAGTGTGTCGAAGGGCAGCTCCCAGGGCTCCTCTCTTCACGGCAACTCTATCAGCTCTCAAGGAAGCCACAAGAAAAACAGCAACACAAAAGCTGATATGGAAATGCAGAATCAGACCCTGGTAAGTGCTTTGGTATATGAAAACATTATTATGTTCTTTTTTAACTTCTGCAGGTGCTCCTGATTGTCAATACAGACAAACAGAACAATAGCTGTTTATATATGATAGAAGGATTTTGTGTAGCTAGAGGATTGTGAATTAATACAAAAGTTGGCAGTTTGAGCACAGGCCATATGATATGGCTAGTCATGAAGATCCTACTGCTTCTGCTGGCAATTCAATTCCAATGGAGATATATGCACGACGATGCTATAATCATACTCTAGTAGAGTGAAATAATAGGACCGTTTTTTTTTTTTATTTTCTCCCCTTTCCCTGAAAATTGCATGCCAGCATTGAACATTCCTCTGAACATTATAGAAATCATTTAACCTAAAAAGTGCACTGCTGATGAGGAAGAGACAAAGTATTTGACGATGTTTGAGAATATTTGTTACTTAAGAGGGAGTCTTTCAAAAGCAAAAGCATACATTTGACCCATGTCTCTGTACCATGGAAAATCTGCATTTAATGCCCTGTAGTTAGTTTTATGCTTCAACAAGGTACTAATTATATCTGATTCTTTAATTTACCCAGAAAGTAGGGATGATACAATTTAGAAGAAAAATAATTTCTTTTTTTGTTAGCTGCTAGATTCTGGTTCTTGAAAGGTTATGCAAGTGGCTAACTTTTCTGCATCAAGTATACATGCAGTCAAGGATCGTAGCCCAAAGTCAGACTAATGGGTGCACTTCCTTGTGAAGCTTCTATTAACATAGAATTTAGTGATCAATTTCTTGCCTAGCAGGGGCCTTTCCCATGATGTTTTAAAGTCCAAGCACCAGGAAAACAGAGATGCTTTAACTTGATGAGCATTCTTTTCTCATTCCTGTAGCTGTCTTGACTATGGTGATTAACAATAGTCACAATTTCCACCAAGTAGACTGAAAACTTGTGCCAAATGCAATACTGATCATGAAGTTAAGGCTTTCACTTTTGTTGTTCTGCTAAAACTGAGTTACGGAAGTATAGTACATGCAACTATTTCATCTGAGAGAATTTGAAATACAAATTCTTTGGGATGTGTTTCAAGGGTAAAATAAATTTCAAAAAGCTTCATAATGGGAACTGGAAAAACTCTTAGCTTAGTACTGACATTTAGGATGCTTAAGGTTAAAATGTCCCATGCATAGTTTCAACTTCAGACAAGTGTTTTTTTACTTTAATGCAGATGTCTATTCTAAGAACATCTGCAAGGTCATTTTTAAAACTTAACAGTGAACATATGCAGAATGAATGTGTTTGAAAACTTTTTCCTCCTGACTTCTGTGGTATCATCTCTTCTTTGAAAATGTAGATGTCTCCTGCATTATAAAACCACAAATTATAAGCATATCTAAGGCTGTCCTTGTAGTGTCACTGAAAGGAAAGAGAGAGAATGAAAGTCTGGAAATGTGCAATATGCAGGAAATTCAATCCAGCTGATCTAGAACTTTGATAGCAAAGCAGAGCCCCTTATCAGAGCCACTCAGTTCTAACTATGCCCCATTTAATATGGTCCTGACAGCTTAGGGTATATCTTCACTGTACAGAAGTACAAAAAACTCTACGCATTGCTTCTGCAGTTTCTTTCTAACTCATTGTTTTCTAATGCTGGAATAATTTGCTGTGCTTTTTGTCTGTCATTTTGTGAAGTCTCTCTAAACATAGCAATAATAGTCATTTAGAACTCTTAAGTATATCTTCAAGAAACATGCTTTGTTTTATTAGGTAACTACAACGATTGTCCTTAATAGACAAAAATAATGGAGAACTGCTAATTATACTGTTTCATTTTTAAGGGCATCTTAATCACGGAGAAAAGGCTTTACCTGTCACATACCGTACACTCCTTTGTTCATTGGGAATCCAAGTATTTTTGGTATTGTTTTTTAAGTTACATAATATGCTTCATGTTCTTGAGTTTCATATTACGGTTTTTTGTGTCACTTCATTCCTGAAAGAAATACCTAGTGCCATAAGACTGGGGACATATAGAATAACAAGATTAAAAACATGCTTACAGTTCTTAATGCTAACCTGTGAAAGAGATATACCTTAATATTCCACAGTTTATGATATTTCATCTTGTCCTCCAAAATTCTACAAGAAAAACAATGGAAAATCTTTGAATTCAGAGTTCATGCATCATATTACTATAATTTCCAGTTATTCTTTGGTGTCTGCTTACTTTGAAGCAGATTGCAAAGGACTGGGAGACAGCTGTGACTGAAAACAATCACATGCAGTAGAATGGCCTGTTGTGCGGTTTTTTGCTTGTAAAAAAGACAAAACAAAATCTTTTGGAGAAAACAGCATAAATCTTTTGAAAGACCCTAAACTATGAAGATTTCTTTATTGAACAATGAGAAGTGCATTCAGCCATACAGGTTTAGCGTGGAAGCTGCTGTATTTCAAAACTGCGTATCATGTATACTGCTTCTTTAAATCCTGGCCATAACATTTTTTAACATTAATTTCCTAGCAAGTTTTTCCTTTAAAGCCTATTTAATTTTGATGTCTAAATCTCTTCCCTTATGATGTGCCAGGTAAAGACTTGGGGCACTATTACGCTGTAACATATGCACCAATTACGTCTGATTCTGTTCATGCAAAGAATGTTATTGCTTGACTGCCACTGAATTTATGGAAAAAGCAATGTTCCACCAGTGGCGGCCGTGTGCTTTCACCTTCAGAGGGATATGCTTCCCGTTAGTGTTCATCAAAATAGCACTTTGTTCTAAAGGCCAGCCAACAGAAATACATAATCCTCTAGCCCACACCAAGGATATTCCACATTCTCCAATACTTTTTCATGTCCTTGGCTGGAGCTTAAGGTGAGATATAATCATTTTTGTGCTGCATTGCTTCATTTCATCTATGTGATTTTATTACAGCCCAGTGTAATTTAGAAAAGCCATGGGCTTTACTTTGTGAGGTGGAAGTGTGGCACCAAAATCGAGACACCAGGAGCTTTGTATAGCACTGTCTGTCTGCAGTCTGTGTGTTTGGGGAGTACCCAGAGATCTGTCCTAATACTGTGAAATGTCACATCAGCAGTAAGCCACAGACTGCCATGCAGTCTGCAAATGTGAGAAATTTTTTTACCCATTCTGTGCATGATCACATACTCTTGTCTTAATTTTCCATAGCCTGAGGTGTTACTTCAGAAGAAAAAAAGATGTAATCAAATCTCAGGGATTAGGAGATTATAAGTGCACTTTATATATATGGAGAGCGAGTCTTTCATGTCTGACTGAGGCTAGTCACAAGAGGTCAATAAGGCTACTTGTATAAGCCAGACAAGCAGAATATATACTATGATCAAAGATATGTCATGCAAATGATGATAAATTCTATTGGTTTATATTACAGAACATATTTAATGTTATTGTGGATGTGCTGTAAGTAGTTTAAAACAGCAGAGGGATTAATAAATAATTTAAAATCTCTGAGATATTGAAAATAATTATTTTTTTTCTGCAGTGCTGGCTTTCCTTCTCTCATCACCCTGAAAGTATCTTCATTCCTGTTTGATTTATGTATCATGGCAGAAAAATATGTCCCTGGATTTGAATTATGGCCACTGATGGCATGTAATGGAGGGGGTTTTCACTGTAAGCTAGGAAGATACCCAGATTATATATACTCTTGGGAAACAGTGCAGAAGAACAGCAAAAAATATGCCTTCGGCTGAAAACTAGGATGTCTAGGGGATTTGATTAACACATACTTGAATAACACATACAGGCTCTTAGTGTGCCCTGCATTCTTAAATTAAGTTTTTCTCACTGTTTAGCTAATTACTGCTTTTAAACAGGAGCGGAAACAAAAATGCCAGAGTTCTGTGTTTGCAAACTGAACTAGAGAGATAACACATTACGTATTAAGTTCACTTTTTTTAGCATAGAATCTGAAACATGGTATTTCTAGAGGGAAACAAAGAGGTCAGAACAACTGCAAAAAAGAGTTTTTCCATTTGAGGAATTGCATCTTCCAAAGGGTTTTTTTTTTGACTGCTGCATATTTTGACTTTGAGTGAAGTTAAAAGTTGTTATCCTCAGATACTGTCCATAGAATGAACTCTTCCGTGCTTAACTGCCCTGTAACTTTATTCTGGTTTATTTCTGAAAAAATAGACTGTAGTTACCCTGAAGCAACGTAACTGAGTCACAGATTTTCTTCACTTTTGTTGTTGTACTATGTACAGGCTAAAGTAGTCACGGAAAACCTGCAAGAAGAAGAGGAGGACACCTTGACAAGGACTACATGTCAGAGTCACGTGATAGGTACAGAATTATGTTTTACACTGGATTTTATTACTGTCAGTTCTTAGAAAAAAAAAACCCAAACATGTTTAATTCTCATTACTTCATTTGTTTGCCCAGCTAATGTTGGCTTTAGCATCCATTTAGCTCTATTCCTGGATAATCTGATTTCACCAACTACATAAAAAATGAATACATACCATTACCAATTGTGGGTCAGTTCAGTCCTGACAGAAGGGCTTTGGAATCTGGCTAAGAAAGATCATTTCAGCCTCCAAAACTAGTTGGTTACATATAGTGGCTTAACTCAAGGGTAGTTATGCATGATACTTTCAGTGGGAATAATACTGATATACTGTAACTCTGTCATCTCTTCTTGAGTTAATAAAATTCAGAAAAAAATTCTGAATAGCAGAATAATTTCTGTAATAAACTAAATCAGAAGGAGTAGCAAACCAGATGTCAGTTCAAGAGACCTTAAAGTTGTTCCCTTTGTAGGCAGAGACTGCAGCAATAGTTAAAATCTGATTCAGTGTTTTCAGGTCACTGTAAGTGATTTGGCTAGCCAGATGCTCTTTAATTTCACTAATATTGTCAACCTAGCAAGTGAGGCTGAACAGAGGTATCATGTTGAAACACATTTCTCTTTGGGGTAGTAGGAAAATGTTTGCATACTTTATTGACTTGAACATCTTTTTCAGTCCGGAATTCAGCAAATAAACTCTGGCTATCTTACTTGCAGAAAAGATCCCTAAACTCTTCCTTCTAAGAACCCAACCATAACTTAGCTCCATTACAGCAACCAAATAACAGGGACTTTTAACAATGCAGTGTAAGACTCCGAAGGGATTCTGTGAGTGGGTAGGCACTAGTCCTGAAAAGAGAAATACATACTCCTCACTCTGTGAATTAAAGACTTACTTTCTGTTACTCAGAATTGTCCAAAAGAGAATACCTCATGCAAGATTGTTCAGAATTAGTTTTCCTCAGAATTATTTTGTCTCCATCCCAAAATTCTCAAAACTTCTACTTTGAATTGATGTGAAACGTTTGGGTTTAATATTTTAATCTAGATACTGAAGAATTAAAAACAGCTATTTGCAGAGCTTTTTTCTGAAAAGACTCCAGTGCTTCCTTGGTGTTCATCAGTATAATTGGTGGTTGTGGCTGAGACCTAATTGCTATATATTTCAACATATTACTTTGGTTAGTACATCCTGTAATGTGTCATGCAGGTGGCTTTTGAGAGGGTTAATGTTTTGCTTCTCCTACAGGCACCAGATCTGAGCCTCTGACAGGATATAGTAGTTCTGGAGCAGGTTGGTTGGCATTTCCCAAAGTCAGTTGTGCCTTAGGTTCATAAGGCCCTCAGTTAGCTTGGAGAGGTCATCTCTGTGGTTCCAGTCCTCCTGTTCACCAGAGTCCTTTTTTGCAAAGACAAGAGCTTTTTCTTCACCCTTTTCAGGGCTGATTACATTCATATAGTGACAGGTAGGTCTGTGGCCCACGTCTATCCAGGTCCACACTAAGTAATGCTACAGATGCCAGGCAGTGCTGCCCTTGGGAAGTTTCTATAGCTTGTGCAAAGACCTCCTCACCATCTGAATTACACCAATTGCAAAAGCATCTTCTTTTCCTTAGACAATGCCGTCTCTTAAATGCTCAACACAGGATGCCAGCTATACCTATTCTGCCTTGTCAAACCATCTAGAGTAACCCAAGGAGATTGCTCTGAGGATCTAGCTGTTAATGTCAGGAAGTTCAGATGATGGGAGACGTTATATGCAATAGGTTATATTGGCACAGTAAAAATAATAGAAATCTAGGCAAATCTGTTAACATTAGCACAGTGAGTCCTAATGCAGGATGTGCCAGTGAT